AAAAACCCTAGAAATTTCATTCCCAAAAATCTAGAGATCTAAAAGGTTTCGCTACAAAATAATTGTACCTGAGTATTCCACTCGTCGTTCTCTTCGATTCGACCTAAAACTTTCGCCGGAAAATCGTCGCCGGAACGCACGTCGCCCCTTGCCCGACCGCCGGACCGTCCGCTCCCTCTCTCTCGTTTTCGGTAAAATCACGCGTGAAATGGGAGATGAGGGCTCGGTTGCTTATTTAGGGAGAAAGGGATTTGCTAAAAGACCAAAATGCCCTTAAGTAAATTCGTCTTAAGAAAAACATAGGGGCAAAGTTGGCATTTAGGGACTTCTAAAATTAATAACTCCAAAATTAGGCAAAATTGGGCATAACTTCTATATACTAAAACGATCAGAATTTCGCGTAGGATTTTCTAAAATTAATTTCGTTGCATTCCGATAACCTTGAAAATTTCACTTAAACCTCGTCGCGGCGCTTTGAAAAGCGTGCGAAGCCTAAAATAGAATTTTCGGGTTTTACAAAACTCCCGCTCAAGTCTCAATTCCAGAACAAAAAAAAATATTTTTAAATTCCTGCCGGACCCGCCCTCCCTTTCTCTCTCCTCCGTGGCATCAACAAACTCAAAATAAAAAAAAAATGTTGTGAGCGTTTAGTCCCACACCGGCTAGAATGAAATGCTTTTGCTATATAAAAACAATGACATCTAAAGGAAAATTGTTGTTGGGTTGTGCGGGTTTCCTGGTCGGGACAGTGTGTCTGTTAATTATAAAAAAAATATTTGTAGATTGTGGCCGTCTCGTTATAAACGAGCTGCTCGATAAGAGGCTCGCCAAACATGAAATTAAACGAGCTCATATTTGAACACGAGCCGAGCTCGAACGTGGTCATTTTAAACAAGCCTGAGCTCGAACACCTGTTCAAAAAGCTCGACGAGCTTTGAGCCGAGCTTAAACACGGTTTTGACAAACGAACTTGAACTTGAACAGTCTAAAGCTCGGCTCAGTTCATTTGCAGCCTTAGGGGCGGCGAACAACTAGTGAACCGCACGTGTTGGCGTTGACCGGATGTGATAAGCGAAGTAAGATAAAGAACACATGAAGGATCATCAAAGAAAGGAAGGTGGGGTAGGTCATCTATCTGCCTTACCTTTCGTAGGGCAAAATAGAGGGGAAAGCGAAGTTAAAGAGTCTCATATTCATCTGACCATATTGAAACAGGGAATGTGGACAACTCGATGTTCACCTGATCATATTGAAAAACAGTGAAACAAAGAGCAAAAGGGTAAAGTAAACCAACTACCTGCCTGACCATATCGAAATAACATAATAGAAGGTGGAAGGGTCTCGCATTCACCTGACCATATCGAAACAGTGAGTGGGGTGACTCGATATTCACCTGAACATATCGAAATAGTGAATAAAGAGCCGGAGTAAAAAGTAAACCAACTATCTACTTGACCATATCGAAACAGTGTAATAGAATGTGGAAGTATCCCGCATTCACCTGACCATATCAAAATAGTGAATGGGGGTGACTCAATACTTACCTGACCATATCGAAACAACAAATAAAGAAGTCACAAAATCTGATGTCCGCCTGACCATATCGAAACAACAAGATAATCAGGAAAAGAGTGACATTCACCTGACCATATCAAAACAATGAATGTAGACAACTCGATGTTCACCTGTCAGTATCGAAACAACGATAAGTGGCATCGATAGGAAAGGGGATTGTATAGATACTACATCCGTGGCATGTGATTATTAACAATCTCCATATCCATTGCATGTCTCTTATTGCCCTCTCTAGATTTATTGCCCTCTCTTGATAATTCTACGCACAATACAGCTTTTCACCATACCTTCAATTGATTTGTACTGTGAATGATAACACTAGCATCGTTCTAGTTAGCACTTGCACTTTAATTATCATGAATAAGCCATATTAGTTTATTTATGTTCATTTATGTTTTTATTCATTAGCGGTCATATGAAGGATCCAGATTATCATTCAACACATGTATTATGTATTTGTTAAATTAAAGTCTGGTTTCCTGCATTTTAGTTTATGCTCCAAAACAGTAACCATCAGAATTCTTTCTTCTGCATGATGTTGTCAATTGAAGCAGTCATACCCTCCATGCATTGCTGCACTTATACTAACAACTTGTGTGCAGTCTTTACAATAACATTCAACCGCCAAGTAAACTGCCTGTTGGGGCAGACTTCCACTGTTTTAAACATGGAATCGAGCCAAAATGGGAAGATCCAGCCTGTGAAAATGGAGGAAAGTGGACAATCATCTGCTCATCAGGAGAAGTTGATAATTGGTGGTTGTACACAGTATGCTCCTAATCTCATTAAATGGCCCATATTTTACTAAAGCTTCATAGAGCTCATAGGTTGCAGTTAAAAATATTCCCAAACTGTTCTTTAAAACTTCTGTTCTTGTTTCTTGGTAGTTACTTGCAATGATTGGTGAGCAGTTTGACCATTGGAATGAAATATGTGGAGCAGTCATCAATGTGCGAGGAAAGCCTCAGAAAATTTCAATATGGAAAATTTCAATATGGACGAAAAATGCTTTTGATGAAGTTGCACAGGTAAAATGATTGAGACCTTCCAACCCAACCTTTCTATCACTGCTTGGTTAAATTGTACTGACAAAATGATTTACATCTAACAAGCGGTTACCTAAATGGTAATTTGGTTTGCCTTTTTTCATCTTCTACATATGAAGAAGCTCTTTTCCTTGCACAAGATATGCCATCACACTTCAACCATTTGTTCAGAAAGTTTTCCCTCTGCTTTTCTTGTTCTCTGAGCACATTAAAAGCCACTCTTCATGGTTTGAAGATATTGTAAAATATCAATACACGCAAGTATACGTGATTGCTTAAGTAATAAAATAAGCAAAAGTATCATCTCATAGAGATTGGTATCTACTAATTATCAAAATTGTTGTTAATTCTAACTTTATTTGGAGACTCAAAATTAATTAGAATTTACTAAAATAAACTAAACTATTAACTATAAGAATTTCAAACGTCTAATGAATATGGGGATTATAGCAATAAGTGAAGAGGTTTAAGATTAGATTTGACTAAAGTTATTGCATATTGGAAATTATTTTAGTTTAGTTATTTGATGGGGATAAATTGCTGTAATCAGATCCAAAATTACTGTCTATGATTCTCTCGAAACAATTGAGAACTAACATGAATTTAGCCTACCCTCATCTCTAAGATCAAAATGATATCATGAATCAAATATAAAAATAGTGATGACAAATATTACAAAATTATTGAAAATATCTCTATCCTTAATTGATTATGATATTTCAACTAAGGCAAATGTGTTTGTCATCTCTTGAACCCAAGCAAATCTCTAATTTAAGTAATGGATGGCCAAACAATTACAAAATTATTGAAAATTTAGATTGAAATATATAGCTGAAAATTGAATGGAATTATCAATTAATTAGACCAAAATCTGGCTACCAAAAAATTCCATAAAATTTTCTTCAAATTTGGATAGATTCAAAATCCTGGGGCCATGCCGCCAATACTAAGTGCATGGTATCGGCCTTTTAATTATGGAGAACATTAGGATAATGGATACCAGAGCCACCATGCCAGAATGCAGCTTGGTAAATCCGATAATTCTGGAAAATGGCATCGCGATGCCACTATTGGCACCATTTCCCCATAGTAAAAAAATTTAGAACTGGTGTGGGCTTCGAAAATTCGGCCTCGGCCTCCGCTCACTTTTCTTATTCAGCGAGGGAGTTTTAACGAACTAAGTTCCGAGGTAAATTTTGGAAGGCAGATGGGTTTGTAGATAAGACACTAAGTAACTCAACAGTCGCTTTTACTGTCAAATTATCTTTAAAAATTGCTTCTAGAGGATGATAGTATGCACCAGGAATCTCTCGAGTTTCTAAATAATCAAACATTTTAAATTAGTTCCAAAATATAAATATATATATAGATTAAATTGGAGAATATCTTATAAAATCTCTTCTAACAAAATACCATCAAACTTGAATATTTGCTTGCCCTCGAACAATACAAAATAACTCAAAAGACATGAGGCAAAGAACAAAATATCATATGACCACTCATCAATCATAGGAGTGCACAAATTCTAGAGTTTAAAGGATTACAAACCCATTAATAGTCAAAAACTGAAATTAACACTTAAATCAATCCTCAGCATGTCATTTCACAAAAATTCAAGCAAATGAAGGTAATCAAAATTCAGCTTAGATTATTTGACCACTCAACAATCATAATAGTGCACAAATTCTAGACAAAATAATGTGACCATATGTTCTTAGTAATAGTTGTGAGCTCAGAAAATTTCTATCCTAGCCTTTACTAAGAGAGTTTAGGGTTTTTTGGGTCAAATTTTTAAGAAGTAAATTAAATTAAAGATAAGATACTACTTAGAGATTTCACCCTCATTTTGTTAGGACTTTGTCATATAATTTTAAGTTCTCCATAGGTGGAAGTCAATATTAATTTCCAGTCCCTACAACGAAAGAGAACTTTCGATTAAGGCTCGTGTAATAACAGCAATTTAGTATAGAATTTAAAATTTATCACTATGAACTTAAATTAGATGGTAGGAGGAATAATGACAAATCTGATGAAGATCCCATTATTTTATCATCCTGAGTTGTCATGGCTCTTGGTTTATTAGGTCAATGGAGGTAGTCGATCCGACATGTCCAAAGGTTCCTTGTTGAAAGCTATGGGTTGCTTTCTATGATGGAATTTTGTAGACATAGGGTGGATTTTTATCTAATGGGGCAATTTAAGTCAATCTTAACTAACAAAGAGCTTTTTACTCTATTAAGTGCATCTTATGATTCATCACTCAAGGATTTTTGTCCATTGAGAAACCTGCGGCTCTACTTGTGATCGTAATTTAATGGTGCCTTTACGGACGAAAGCACCTGATCATAATTGTTTATCTATGTTGTCATTTATTGTCAAAACCATCAATGAGAGAACATGTGTCGCATTATTATTGACAAAAGATAATTTAAAAATGAATCGTAGCGATATGCTTGACAAAACATTGGATTGTTGTAAGCTTAGATCATACTTAAGTCTATCACCCACGATAAATGATTCCGAGGGTGATGGATGGATTTTGCTTTAGATTTTATAAGTAATTAAATTCATTTAAAATAATTTATTTTTTATATATTTTCCTAATATTCTTGTATTTTGCTTGAATTCGAATATATCATAAAAAAAATTCTTGACCGAGCACGTATCTAGATGCAAATTCATATTGGAAACTTCTAAAATTAAATTTTGGACCATTTGAACTTTGATTTCAGCAAACTTATAATCTAACTGAATGTCTCGAAGAGAAAACCCAATGACACCAAATTCGATCCAATCCGAGTTCGGATGAGACCAAATTGAGGACCCGAAGCACATTTTGAAGCTTCAAAGAATAAATTGGACAACCAAATAAATTTTAAATATGACATACTTATAATCAAATCATGCTGCTCGACGAGACGAATCTAATGAGTCCAAGATCGTCAAATTCTAACATCATTAAGGCACCCAAATGCTCAATAAATAGTATATGATCAAGGGAATCAATATGGGTCATCCATTTGAACAACTCTCAACGTGCCCTTGATCTTCTCCCTATTTATTAGACATGTCACTCTTAAAAAATTATAATAAACCCCTCATTTTTCATTGAGAATTGGGAGGGGGGGGGGGTAGGGAGAAGGGGACGAAGAGAGGAGAGGAAGAGATTTCTGAGATCTCTCTTGCCACCAAGCTACTCCTCGACCACCACCCATCCACCGACCGTCATCAGACTTCCTCTTAGCCACCGACTATCGTCAGACTTCCGTCGGCCACCAACTGTCTCCGGACTTATACCCGACCACCGATTGTCACCGAACTTTTTCCAGACTTCCTCCCAACCACCGGCTATCACCAGACTTTCACTCGACCACCAACTATCGCTGTACTTATACCCAGCCACCAATCTTTGTCGAACTTCCTCCACACTTCCGCTCGACCACCAATTGTTGTCGAACTTTGCTGTCAACTATGGTCTCTCTGACCAATATCGTCAACTACTATCTTTACAACCTCTGTCACTCGCCAACTACGGTCTCTCCAATCACTATCACCCGTCGACTACGATCCTTCCGACCTCAGTCATCAGACTACGGTCTTTCTGACCTTCTATGCCCGAATACTACAGTCCATCCGACCTCCGTCGCTAGACTACGATCTTTTCAACCTCCATCTTTTGCTGACTACAATCCTTCCATCCTCTAACGCCAAACCACAGTCTTTCCGGCCTTCATCGTCCATCGACTATGTTCCTTCCAATCTCTGTCGCCGAACCAGTCTTTTTGACCTCTGTTGTCCATCAACTACGATCCTTTCGACCTCGTCATCAGATAACGAACCTTCTGATCTTCGTCTTCAGACAATGGTCTTTTTGACCATCATCGTCCTCTGACTACGGCTCTTCCAACCTCTGTCACCAGACTACATTCTTTCTGACCAGCATCGCTTGTCGACTACGGACCTTGTGACCTCCATCTCCAGACAAAGGGTTTTTTTTCCACTATCGCCCGCCAACTACGGTCATTTCGACCTTTGTCGTCAGTTAAATACAGTCCTTCCGTCGCCTACCGACTACGGCCTTTTCGCCCTCCGTAGCCAGATAATAGATCTTATGACCTCCTCCATACAACGATCTTTCTGACCACTGTCGATTGCCTACCACGGTCCTTCCGACCTTCGTCTCCAGACTAAGGTCCTTCCAGCCTCCGTTGTCCGCCAACAAAGGCCCTTCCAACCTGCGTCGCCAGACTACAGTTGTTCTGACCACTATCGTCTGCCGACTACGGATCTTCTGACCTCCATCTCCAGACAATGGTATTTTTGACCACCATTGCCCATTGAATACGGTCTTTCCGACCTCCGTCACCAGACTACAGTCCTTCCAACCTCCATTGCCAGAGTACGATCTTTTCGACCTCTTTCACCTGCCAACTACGGTCCTTCTAACCTTAGTCGCTAGATAATGGTCCTTTTGACCTCCGTTGCCTACCGACTATGGTCCTCCGACCTTCGTCACCAGACTACGATCTTCCTGACCTTTGTCGCCCACCAAGTATGGTCCTTCAAACCACCGTCACCCGACTATGATCTTTCTGACCTTCGTCGCCCGCCTACTATGGTCCTGCCAACCTAACGAACATCTCAATACTTATTCTTCCAATTCCCACCATGTAATGCACTCTATATGATATATATTTGCTACATCAAACCAAGGTCTTCCCCCCAAGGAAGGCTCTCATTTTTAATCAACTACAAACATTAGTGGCTTCATTCAAATTTGGCCAGGCCCCATGGTTTTTTCTCATTTTAGGGGTTTCCATGTAAAAAACTCAGGTTTCTCTTATAAATGTTGCACCATCTCTTTTATCAGACTGTGCGTTGGATCTTCGTCCAAAGCTAAGACGTTAAACTTTATATTTCTTAATCATCGTGAATATTCGAAGATGCAACAGTTTTGTGCCATCTGTGGGAACGTTGTTCATGACTGGGAGGAAACTATTGCTCCAATCTCGAAAGATCATAGTTTTCATTGTCTTGACATCAGTTATTGCTGCATTAATTTCATTGGAATCAGATATGAACTGGGGGGTAACCTTGACTGCAGCCATGGTTAAGAAGATTCCTCCAATGCTTCCAACATCCAAGATGATATCTTGGGAAATTATTTTTGATAAAGCTTCTAGAAAATGTAAGGATGCTTCCAATAAATTACAAGCTTTATACAGTTCCTAACTAAACTTCTACTCTTTGGGTAAGATCTTAATCTCGATTTCAAAAAGGCAGTAATGGTCTAAAGATAGATCATTCTTCACATTTGATTCAAGATACACGCAATATTCGCTCCCTCCCAATCAAGGCATAATCGATATCAGCGTGATTCAATCCGACATTTTCCTCATAAGTTAATGTCATCAAGCAATGTTTTGACTAGCAAGCTCAGAAAGGTTAAACATCCTAGAAGGATGTCAATCAAATTTTAAAATTCTTAATTCGAGAAATACACAATCTTTATTGTGTCTCAATCAATAGATGATCAATCTCAGGGGGATTGGATCAGACCTCTTCAACATAGGTTAATATCATCGAGCAACGCTCTAACACACAACCTCAGATAGGTCATACATCCTTGCTGGATTCTCTTGGCCTCTTTCACATAGATTAACGTCACCGAGCAATGCTTTGACAAATAACCTCAGATAGGTAATACATTTTTGGTGAATTCTCTCGACTTCTTCCGCACAGGTTAACATTATCATGCAACACTCTGACATACAACCATGGATAGGTCATATATCATTGTTGGATTCTCTCGGCCTCTTCCACAAAGGTTAATGTCATTAAGTAATGCTCTAACAAATATCCTCAGATAGGTCATACATCCTTGGTAGATTCTCTCGATCCACACAAGTAAACGTCATTGAGCAATGCTATAAAAAATAATCTCGGATAAGTCATATATCCTTGGTGGATTATCTCTTCCTTTTCTATATAGGTTAACGTCATCAAACAATGCACTGACAAACAACTTCAGATAGATCAAACATCCATTATGAATTTTCTTATCATTTTCAATACAAAGTAATGCTTTAACAAACAACTCCATGAAGGCTCACCTATAAGGTAGCCTCAAAGAAAAGCTAGCAATGTATAGAGTCCTCACTAGAAAGACTCCATAAGAGAAAGTGGTTAATATGTTCATCACTTATTCAGAGATCTTGGCAGGCTAAGAAGCTTCAAAAGGCATAGGTATTCAAAAATCTTAGAAGGCTAAAAAGCCTCAAAAGGCATCGGTATGCAAAGACCTTACCAAGTTAGAAAGCCTCAAAAGGCACAAGTATACAAAGACCGTAGTAGGCTAAAAAGCCTCAGGCATAGGTATACAAAGACCTTAGTTGGCTAAAAAGCCTCTAAAAGCATAGGTACAACAAAATCTCAAAAGGCTTAAAGTCTCAAAAGATATACACTTCTTTGGTTATTTAAAAATTTCATAAGAATAAAAGTTGTGAAAGGGATAAATTCCTCTAATCTAGTTGCTCTAATCGAGGGCAATATATCAAAGCATATCTCAATGACTTAATTTTCTCTGAAGAACAAGTTCATTTCAAATGAAAAATAAGCATCTAGCTCATACAAATATTTCAAATTCATATACAATGTCGTTGGATTTACATAGCAAAATTCTACATAAGGTTCGAGCGTATATTCATTTTCACTAGAAGCTGAAATTAAAATTACATGGACGTCATCTTGTGCACTGTAATAAATCAAGATGATAAAAAAACTCCTAGCAAACCACTGGCCTCTCCTTAATTGGCAACTTGAGCTTGTTGTTAGATTATTGCGATCGACACGATGTTTAATCCCATCAATCTGGATATTCACCTTCTGCCTCCATCAGTATACCAACAAAATGAAGCATCTCTTTCATCAAGGAAAGATCAGAGTCTTAACAAGCCTTTGATTATCTAATAGTTTTTATATGCTGTTAAATTGTTTCCATCGGCACACCACCTGACCACCTTCGTCAGATCATTCATTATTCTCCTCCAGTTATCATGGTTGTCTACTACTTTGAATAGAGTACAACTCAACTACCGCCATCATTTGGCCTTCACCTAATGTTCTCCTTCAATCCTTCACCTCTCATCAACCATCATCAGCCTCTCACTTGGTTACTAGTAGTAGTACACACTCCAATTGTCTCCTTCAACTCACCACCCAGCCATCGACTGTCGCTAGACTTCCACCTAACAGCCGATCGCCGTCAAACTTCCACTTGGTCTTTGATCGCCACCAAACTTTCACCCAGCCGCTGATCGCCACTGGACTTCTACTCAATCATCATCAAAATTCAGTACGTCTGTTGATAATCACTAGTTCTCCTCCCAAGTGATATTACCATCGGTTCTTTTTAAATTACCCTCACATACAAGAGGTTATTCATCATCTTCTGTCAAGGGTTTTTTATTTAGGGAATAAACTCTCATTGTGACTTCTATAAAAAGAGGGTTAGATAGGGAATACCACCTATCTCAAATAATAGAATGCCTCTAATGGAAGAAAATTATTAGAGAAGAGAATGGAAGGAGGAGAAAGATCCTTCTACACAAAAGAGGGGTACTGAAGCTTGATAGGGGATGTCACATATCTCAAATAATGGAATGCCTCTAATATAAGAAAAAATGATGAGAAACAAAAAGAAAGTAAGGAAATTTTGCTTCTGCGAACAACCCTGAAATTTGATAAGGGATACCACCTATACATGACCGGAGGAATGTCTCTATTGTAAGAAGACTGAAGAAGAGAAAAAAATGGTACAATTTCTCCTTTGCCCTAGGGGGCTATTTATAGGTGAAAAAGGAGAAATTTTTGCAAGAATAAGAATATTTTAAAAATATTTCAAGAATAAGAATATTATGAGGGGAGGGAATAAGAATATTCCTAAGAATAATCTTTTTTTAAAAAAAAAAGAGAACAAAACCTCTTTTAAAAAAAATTTCTCTCTAAAAAGAGAAAAATACAAAAAAAATAATAATTTTCTGTAAAAAAAATTAACTGCGACCGTTGGCATGCTAACCAGCACCCAATGCTGAAACATCGCCTCCAAACCGCGCTGGCAACCGCGAGAAGCGCCCGGCAGTATGCGAGTGCGCGAGCAGACGGGCTGTGCAATCATGTCGGGCAGTGTTGGATGGCAGTTCAGCTGCCAACTTGAGTCCGAGCCCCATTTTAAGCCCAAACAATCTGATACAGACATTTTGGGGTCTCCGGAACCGTCTATTGATGTTTTAGACTCAATTTTGACATTTTCGGAGCTATATGAAGTTTCTACAATCTATTTCGAGCAAATTTGATAGTTTTAGCACAATTTTTTGACATTTTTCATCCTGATTGACATGTTAACTTCAAGACAGGATAAATTATAATCAAGGGTATTTTACTTGGTTACGGCCCTGAAACGAGGTCTACGTTAACGTCCAGGGAGTGGTCGCGTCTCATAATTACCCATAAATTGTAATATAGCATTTAAATGATTTGAGGAGCTCCGATACATATTTTTGGATTCTGAAGCTTTGACGTCTAAAAATAGGAGGAAACTAATATATCATCAAAAAGATTTCTTGATCAAGAACAAATCTCGAGGCAAATTCACATTGGAGACTTCTAAAACTAAAGTTGCGGTCATCTTAACTCCAATTTCAACAAACTTATAGTCAAACTAAATGTCTCAAAGAGACAAACCCAACAAAACCAAATTCGAGTCCAAATGAGACCAAATCGAGGACCCAAAGCATGTTTGGATACTTCAAAGCATAAATTGGACAACAAATAAATTCCAAATATGACATTTTTTATAGTCAAATTGAGCAGCTCGATGAGACGAATCCAATG